CGATCATATTTGTCGAGATATGCTAATGCAATCTCGTCGGCATCATCTCCCCCGGGTGGAGAGGATTCGCCCTCGAATATACAATCTCGTCGGCGTCCTGATAAACACATTCGACAAAATCACCTAGGTCAAAAACTATCAAGCGACTGTCCACCGAGTCAGATGACTCCCTACACTGCTCGGCACGAGAAACGAATAAAATCAGAGACGACAATGGCAAAGGACCAAAACTAGATGACAACGGATGCAGGATTATGCAGAGGCCCTCAAATAAAAAGCTATATGTGTTGAGGCGTCCATCATGTAGCACCGAGCTATCAAATTGCCAAGGTCGTCATAAAAAAACGTGCCAAGAATCCATAAGCACGACGTCACACCATGTCATGTCCTTATAAGAGGAGCCGATAGAAAAGGACACCAACACACGTCGAGTGACACGGATATTATCATCATGTTGTATCCACGCAAGAGCATACTGATCAGGATGCGGCTCATTTAACAACCCAAGTTTCGTCACGGCCTCGTTGGAAATCACGTTCTCGCAAGAGCTAGAATCAATGACAAAACGACACACCGGCCGCCAATGATGCAGGTGGATTCAAAAAGGTGGTGTCGTTGGACCTTATCCTTGGAAGCTATGTGAGGAGACAAAAGAGACCGACGAAGGACAAGCGCGCGACCCACGTCTCCCGAGACATGCACCTCTGGAACTTTCGACTCTTTATCGAAAATTGAAGGACCATCAAAAACATTCGAGTCTGGCTCCTCTACAATCAACGCCCTTGACCCTCTTTCTTCGGGCACTGTGCCTGACGATGACCCGGCTTGCCACATAAGAAACAACGCGCCCCACCAGAGTGCCGAGTGCCACTCCCCGTTGTGAAGCCAATCACACAACCCTCAGAAGGAGCACCCACATCTAGCTGAACACTAGCCGCAGATGGCGCAATACCTGAAGTACCTGGAGGCTCATTTGCAGGCGGTGCAAAAGAAGCGCCCAATTTTCGGGCCTGTTGTTGCTCAACCAATAATGCATGCTGATGTGCCTCAGAAACGGAAGCGGGAGTAAGCATGTTCAACACATTTTGAATAGAGACACGCAATCCCCCAATATAACGAGAAATAAACTGTTCCTAAGTTTCACGAATATCAACCCGAGCCAGGAGTTTATAAAGTTCCTCAGTACAGTCATCCACACTACGTTGTCCTTGACGAAGATTCTGAAAATGCTGATATAAAGTACGGACAAAATTAAATGGTAAAAATTCCCTGTCAAGATACTTACGAAATTTTAGCCACGAAGTGATTTTTTGGTTTGCCTTGACTATGCCGCACACCCTGTAACTGTAATCACCTTGCAGCCGCTCTTCCATGAAGGCGAGTCACTACTAAGGGTACACGTCGGTCATCCGGAACACTTTTGAAATCAAGAGTCGACTCAACGGCTCCTAACCAGTCAAGAAAATCATAAGCATCCATACCCCCAGCAAATTCAGGAAGATCAACCCGAAATGATGATTCCCAGCGATTAATTCCTTCACACATCCCAAACCTGCGAAAATGGGCCTCATGTCCAGGCCCACCAAATTCAGTATATGGGCTTTGTAAATGAGATGCAGCAGGATTATTACATTTGATGTCGTCAAAATCACGCTCAATGCCAGGAGGAAATTGATTTCCTCGGTTGTCTCCAAAAAAACCTCTACAACGCAAATCGGCGTCGG